AAAATGAGCGTTGGAAGGGACCTCAGGAGGTCACATCTAGTCCAACCCCCTGCTCAAAGCAGGACCACCCCCAGCTAGATCATCCCAATCAAGGCTTTGTCTAGCCAGGTCTTGAAACCTCCAAGGATGGAGAGTCCACAACCTTTCTGGGTAACCTATTCCAGTGTTTTACAACCCTCCTAGTGAGAAAGTTTTCCCTAATATCTAACCCAAACTTCTCTTGCTGCAACTTGAGCCCATTGCTCCTTGTTCTGTCATCTGCCACCACTGAGAACAGTCCAGCTCCATCCTCTTTCAAAGCACCCTTCTGGTAACTGAAGGCTGCTATTAAATACACTCAGTCTTCTCTTCTCTAGACTAAATAAGCCCAGTTCTCTCAGCCTCTCCTCAGAAGTTGTGTGCCCCAACCCCCTGGATATCCAGGGGTCAAAAAAACCCCAAAACCCCACCCCCTCTGCTGCTACATTGCAGCATAGAGAACAGCTGAATGTGGTATATGGCACTGCAAACGTGTCTGTGGCACCACATACTGCACGGCCACCTCGTCTGGATGCAGCCATTGAGAGCTTTGCCCCAGTTTTTATTTAGGTTTTGGGACGTTTCCACATCATCTTCAATCTGTACCCCAGGCTCACTGCACAGCAGCTCCGCTTCCTTTTTCCTTGATTTCTTTTTGTTTAAGGGCTACAGGTCCTTTAGCCATTTAATTTTCCTTTGCAAGGTCTAACCCTACTTGACAGTGTCCCACAGGAGCACAGGGGGTCTCCCATGCGCTCAGCAGTAGACCTGGAAGTGGACCAGAAGCACTTTTGGTCCACTTCTGGGTTCACCACTAAACATGCAGAGCCCCCCTGTGCTCTTGTGGGATGCTCCATGCGCCCCAGCATCAGTGTTCATGATCCACACCTGGGACCTCGACCTACGTAGAAAAAAACATTTAAAGCCGTGTCTATGGCCGAATCGCTGATTCTCGGAATCTGCATCTAATCTTCAGATTGGGATTTGGCCGATTCAGGTCAACTCGGAATAGAATACGGGCTGTTTTGCACACTCCTACTGTATGGTTAAGCATCTCGTGTAGACACAGCTACCGTCCACCATGGTACCTTGAAATGTCTCTCTGAGGTCTAGTCTGATAAGGGATAGTGGGCCAAAAACTGCCTCCAACTCTCAGTGTAAGCTGTTTGAGTCCTTCACTCTTCATTTAAATGAGATATTTTGAGGGTGGCAGACAGGACAGGAGTCTAGGAGAGGAGAAGTGGGAGATCTCTCAAAATGGATTTCGACCCAGGGTGCGATTAGTCCCTCTCCCAAATCTTCCAGTCTGTTTTAAGACAGACAGGCAGACTCAAGTTATTCAGGAGCTAAGCAAAGTTAGTGTAATAGGTGATGGTGAGCATACTGTATTCCTTATATTGTAGAGGTAACATTTTCCAATTTGGCCTTCTCAGCATTAAATGGTAATCTTAGCACCCTCACACAAAAGAAGCTGAAGTACACCTCTTCTATATGGATAATTGTCTCTCATTAATTCTTCCTCCAGAAAGGAGGAACTATACAATTTGTTGAGCTAAGCTACTTAATCTGGCTCGAGTTTTGAAAGCACTTTGAACTGATCCTGCTGACATGCGTCTCCATTTTGTACCCTCTCGAGATCCATCCATGTTCTGCCAAAGAACAAGATCAGATTTCCATGCTCTCTAGAGATCCACAAAGAGCAGCCAAACATCAGTCCCAGAACTGGAAAGACTGGTATATAGGGTCCTTTCTAACCAAGGGTCCTTTCTAACTTTTCCCCCAGTTGAGCCATGCCCAGAGTTTACACTATGTTGCTAGGTACTAGGGGCAAATTCTACTCCCCTTCCTGAAAGGGATATCTGAATAGGCATCACACACCTTTACCTGGCCCTACAAGTCTTTTCAAGCAACTTTCTTAAAGTTGAATGTAGGCCAAGAGCTGAAGAGTACCTAGAGAGTAAAAGATAATTAATTCATCATGTAGACTTCCCACAGAAGCAGTGGTGTACTCAAAAGGTTAGCTTATGCATAGCTCCATTTCAGGCAAAAGAGAATTAAAGATGTGTGCTTTCCTTTTGGAGGAGGCTCCATTTACCAGGTTGCACAAGAAAACCAGCTTCTCAGAACAGGTCCTTGCACGTTCTGCCTACGTGCCAGTTGCATGTGGTTGGTTTTTCCATTTAGTCCAAGATCCATTCTTGGGCACAGGAGCCTCCAAGTCCTACAGCAGGGCATGCCCGTAGTCCAAAATCCTTTCTTGGCATGTGTCCAGTCCAGTCGCTTCTTTCCTTCACTCCTCAGTGCTTGAAACTGAACGAGCACCTTTGTGAAAGGAAAGGGTTGGCAGTAGATTGTTTAGTCAAAAGGTACAAATCTACCCTGCCTTCTAGTAGATTTAAAAACACAGCCCTCACCTCCACTTGAGTCACTATGCACTCCCCCCCAAACCTTACCTGTGAAATACCCTTGTGTTAGAGTCTCACTCACCTGCAGGCCCCCTTCTGCGCATCTGGGAATCTGTCCAAGAGAAAGAAAGCACTCCCCCCTGGGATGCTACTTTAGCAACTTAAGCAGCTATGATACCAGGGCCTCAGGCAACAGGGGTGCAGATAGCCTTGAGGTGGGGACCAACGCTAAGTTCTTACCCAGGACTGCCCTTAAAACCCATCCGGAAGCTACAGCTGGTGCAATGGCCCATGTTCTGACAAAGGTTAACTGCAGTGGCTTCCAATAACTTTCTGGGCTCAATTCAAGATGCTGGTTTTGACCTCCAAGGCCCTAAATACCCAAGGGACTGCCTTTATACCCCATCATGATCCCCCAGTTCAGCTGGGCAGCATCCTGCAAATACCATCAGCAGGCCAAGTCCACTTGTCAAAAAAAAAAAAAAAAAAAAATGCATAGGGGGTCATTTTTGGCTCCCTCTTGCACAGTCCACCAGCGCCCATGTAGGTGACAAAGGGAACAACAACAAGTTACTTGCCAAAATGCCATTTATTGCATGTGTACTTTTACACAGTGTACAGATAACCAACTGAAGTATCTTCTATTAAAATTCATTTGCACCACTTAAATAATGAAGAATAGCTAGAATTAGGGAAACAAAGCATGGCAATTTAAGCTACCAAAATATACAAAGGTTTTTTTTATTCCCCCTACAAAGTGGTGAGGTACAACTGAAATTTTTAGATTCCTGTGGCTTGCAAGCATCTCTCTCGTAAAGAGAAAAACAAAAACCCAAAAAACAAAAACAAACAAACACAAAAACAAAAAAAACAAGAAAGCCTGCTATCAAAACAGCATTTCTGCATTCCTATACAAAGCAAAGAGTTACAGCTGCAATTAACACCATCCAGTTGTTGCATTCACTTATAAAAAAGTCAGTGTAAAAAAAAAAAAAAGGCAGTAATTAACATTCCAAATTTTATTTTCTTAGAAAATTAAGAGCAAACTGCTAAACAGGCAATTAATCTAGTGCATAAATAAGTTTGGAATCAAACAAGTACTTTCTTGGTTTGGTTGAGAAAAATTGAAAAAAAGGCACCAGCTTTAGGCAAGTAGTAACTCAGGAATGTTTTCTACTTCATTTAAGTTAAAATAATTCTTTTCCCCCCCTACATGTGCCAACTGTTGCCAATATTCTCCAATCACTTCCCTGGCACTATAAATATTTACATCCTAATTGTAAACATTCATCTCTTCCCTCTACCTTCACTAAGAGCAGGAAAGAACCTTATCAGCTTGGAACATAATACAAAGTCCAGATGGCAAAGCAAAAGGCAAAGATTATGCAGTGTTTTAGGCAGTCTAACATTTCTTCAGCATTTATGGTTTAAACCAAGATCACTCAATTCCATTTCATGGACAAGTGTAGTTAAATGCATCCATCTATTTAGATTGTCATGACACTTCAGTGTGAAGTTCTATTGTGTATTAAAACCCACTGATTTCTGGCAAAACTTTGAAACAAGCTACTTCTCTTTACATCTTTTCTACTCAAAGCAACAAAAGCTGCTTGGCTTGGAAGGTTAGCCAGGTGATACTGTAAAGATGAAGGCATGCGCTTATCCAATAACATCCTTGTACATAAGATATTAGTCTGAAGACAAATTTCCTTAAGTTGCAACAGCTGACATTTCTACAAACTGGCTGCGTTCACTGAGCTTGTGCCAGTTTAAATACATAATATGCTTCCATGTTCCCTGGTCCTTGGGGATAGTGTCCCAAGACACTTGGTCTGCCCTGGTTTTCGTACCATTCACGCTATGAACAAATGCAGTAGGTATCAGATATACTCGTGGCAGATTTAGTTGCAGTGGTCACTTATGTTCTAACAGCACACAGAGGTAGAGGCTAGAATATGGGATCAGAGTATCACACAGTGGTGCGGGATACAACAGGATCAACCCCAAGACTAGAAGGGAAGTTTGGCATCTAAAGAATGGTGGGATTAGACCATCTAATCCCAAGGAGTCATTTCTTGGTAAAAAAAAAAAAAAAAGCCAG